ATCGCTGCAACGAGTGAGCTGCTGCTCTTGCTGCGCTGCTGCTGTTGCGGTTCTCTTCTTTACTGCTGAGCCAGCGCTTTCAAGTCTTGCTGCTGCTACTGCTGCTTCTGCTGCTGCTGTTGCTGCTACTCTTGCTGCTGCTGTTGCTGTGTGCTGTGTTCAGCAGCAGCAGGCCAAACCGCCAAGCATGCGAAGGCCCTGCAGGAGTTCCTCACGGGGGGCACAGCAGAGCGCGCGGCGCTCGCTATCATGCATGCAGCAGCTATGGCGCTGGACGCACATCCTAAGCAGCAGCAACAGCAGCAGCAGCAGCAGCAGCAGCTTCCAGTGACGGAGGCGCAGCAGCTGCTTGACGTAGCAGGGGATCTGCTGTACGCAGTCGCTGCAGCCCTGCAGTGCAGCAGCAGCGGGAGCGTGAAAGGAGCTACCGGAGCAGCAGCAGCAGCAGCAACAACAGCAGCAGCAGCACCGGCAGCAGGGAATAGGATGCGCAGCAGACTGCAACGGGCCATGGCCTGGTTAATGCTGCTGCAGCGGCACTCGGCAGCAGCAAGGGGAGAGCTGCCAGCAGCAACTGCTGCTGCACCAGCAGCTGCCACAGACGATGCAGCAGCACATGTAGATAGAGGGGAGGGATCTGCTGCTGCTTTGAGCGCGCTCTTTTTGCTGCTTGACGACTTGGATCCCCAGCAGCAGCAACAGAAGCAGCAGGAGCAGCAGCAGAAGCAACAGCAGCAGCAAGAGAAGGAGCAGCAAGAAGGAGAACAGGACCTGCTGCCGTCTTTGGATTACCTGCGGTCTCAGGCTGTTGCTGCAGTGCTTGCTGAGGGCCTTGAGGTGCACGAGTTGCTGCAGTCTGATCCGCGCGCAGCGTCTCTCTTTTCGGGTTCATTCGCTGCGTCGCAGCAGAAGCAGCAGCAGCAGCAGCAGCAGAAGCAGCAGCAGGAGAAGCAGCAGCAGCAGCCGCAGGAGAAGAAATGGGGGCAGGATTGTGTGTCGCTTGAAGCGGTCTCGTCTGGGGCTCTGAGGGCTGAGGTGGAGGCTTCGCTTCTTGCTGCTGTTGCTGCAGCACAGCAGCAGCTGGATGCTGTATCTAGGCGGGTGCATGCAGAGATTCACGAGCGCACGGTGGCAGCAGCAGCAGCTGCAACAGCTGCTGCTGCAGGTGTAGATGATGAGCAGCAGCAGCAGCAGCAGCAATGCCCGCAGACGAGTATTTTGAGTGCAGAAACACAAGAAGAGGTGCTTCGCCTCATTCAGGCTTTTGTTCCTTTCTTCTCTCGGGTGTCTAGGCAGCTCTCACTACTAGCTGCGTCGCAGGTGGAGTTGAACTCTTCATATATTCCCGCGGCTATAGAGATTCCCCCGGCTGTGCATGCATTTATTTTGGGGCTTATTTCTCTCTATGGAGATATATTTGCTGTTTTAGCTCTTCGATCTGCACGATCCCTAGATGATTGTGTCTTTCCTTTTGCTGCTGTTACTGCAGCAGCAGCAGCAGCAGAAACAGCAGCAAAGACGCTGCGCGGCTGCCCCTTTCCGTCTGCTGAGCTCAAAGATGAATTCGTGTTGGGGGTTGTCGCCTCCCTGCCGGTGCTGCTCTCCTCTCTGCAGGCCTTCAGGATATTCCTTAACGAGACCCCAGAGCCTCCTCCTGCTGCTGCTGCAACCTTGCCAGCAGCAGCAACAGCAGCAGCAGCAGCAGCAGCTGGTGGAGAAGCAGGCACATCTCCAGATTCCCCTGAAACGCAGCGACAGCAGGTTCCACAGCAGCAGCAGCAGCAGCAGCNGCAGGCACATCTCCAGATTCCCCTGAAACGCAGCGACAGCAGGTTCCACAGCAGCAGCAGCAGCAGCAGCATTCGGTTGCTGCTGCTGCTGCAGTGTCTACTGCAGAGCTTCTAGGGGAGAGCGGGAAGCTGCCGTCGCTTGCTGCTGGCGTTTGCATGTGGGGTGTAGCTGTGGGGTCACCTTATGCTCGTTTGGTTGCGCCTCTATCACCGCAGCAAATAGCAGAGGACCTGAAGCTGAAGCCAGAGAGCAGCAGCAGCGGTGCTGCTGCTGCTCCTGTGCTTGCAACGGCTCTAGGGGCCCCTATACCTGTGTCAACTATATTTGCTGCTGGGGTCCCCGTATCTGGCTGCTTCTTACATCCTGCTGCAGTGCGTCTTGCTGCTGGTATCTCTGCTTTTATTCTTGTTGAGCTTGTTGCTGTTGCGTCGGTCTGCTGCTGCTGCTTCCTCACCGGCGAGACAAAGAGGTTTAGTACTCTTCCTATTGCGGGGCTGCCAGGGGGTGCTGCTGCNTTCCTCACCGGCGAGACAAAGAGGTTTAGTACTCTTCCTATTGCGGGGCTGCCAGGGGGTGCTGCTGCTGGGGCATTGAATAGCGGCTCTTCTGGGGGCGCAGCAGCAGCAGCAGCAGCAGCAGCAGCAGCTGTCACCGCAGCTGTCACTGCAAGAAAGGGAAGTCTATGGAAAGACGTAACCAGCAGCAGCCAGATCATTCGTCTGGGCCTCTGCGCTCTGCTGCAGCTGGCGGGGGCCCCCCTCGAGTGTGCGGGTACAGCAGAGCAGCCTCAGGCGGCACAGGGGGGCCCCGCAGGCAAAGCAATAAGGGTACGGTGGCAGCTGCACCCGCTAACCTTCTTGGGGCCCACAAACAACCAGATCATCGCTGGAGGAGGCGAGGGCGGTGCAGGCTCTTACCCTGCTGCTGGTGCTGCTGCTGCTGCTGCTGCTGCTGCGCAGTTGCAGCAGCAGCAGCAACAAGGAGTAGTTGGGGCGACTGGAGCAGCAGCA